TTTGAAGTTCAGGTATTCCACTCCCCTCCTCAGGGATAACAATATCAGCCTTTTCCACAAGTTGTACAGCTCTTTGTCCTTGTATTTTTCCTCGATCACGGCGGATTCTGCTATAATCTTTGTCTTTGTTCAAATGGGCCATGGCGATGACAAGGGCTCGTGGGAGACACAAATTATCGGTGTTTTTAACGGTGATAATGCCTTTTCTTTTGGCGCATTCCTCATCAAAGGTATTGAAATTCTGAGCTCTACCACGACCAGCAGGCAACCTTACGGACGTAATACCCAAGCAAAAAGTCTCGGTATTCAACCCCACAGAATTTGACTGATAGATGGAAGATATCTTCTCCCATATGTCCTCAGTTGAAACGTCGGAAAACAATTTAAAAGCTATCCATCCTTGACCGCGGGTAAAGTCTTTGGAACAGAAAGTGAATCCAAGTTGATCACTGGGCTGGAGATGTTCAGTTCCTTTGGCTACTATTTCCTCCAGAGCGTCTTTGATCCATCCCACAGGTTCGACGTCTTTAGGGATAGGTCGTATTTTAAATTCCACTTCTCGCCCATATAGATTAAATTTTTTAATCTTCTTAGTAGAATCCTTAACGATGAAGAATTTTTCCATTTTTTAAAAACTAAAACGTTAACTAGCGACTAAATCTGAACTGAGCACGTCTGTTCGCTGCAGATAACTGACAAGATAATTTGCGGTGATTCATAGGTATTTATAATCTCGATTTTACCCCCACCACTTTTTAACTGACCACAGTGTTTCAAGGTCACCGCTGTTATCGTTGGTCAGTATTAACTCGTTGACAGCCTGCGCTTCCTGCCCATTCACCCATGCTTAACAGCCCCGCCCGGTACTTCTTGCATATCACCGCTACGACAACACCTGCCCTGAACCTAACCTCATTTGCGACGTAGGTGATTACCTTGTTGAATTTATTAGATACACAATATAGACTGTACTATGTTTTCAATATTGTATCAATGTTAAAAATTAACTAACATTAACTGTATGCACCACATATATGAGCAATTCCATTTTTATATGCACACTGAATATGACGTGTTGATTATTGAGATCATCCTATACGCATTGTTTCCCGCGAATTTTATACGTTTCTCCATTTAAACTGAATCCGCAGAATTGCATCTATAAATATCATTATTCATGGGCTTTTATCGATCTATATGCAAATATTTACCGCAAAACATGAAATGAGTCACATCGCTTACGCATAGACGTTATACTACACCTTACTATCGTCGGCTGTCTGAATCACTTCCGGTCGGGTGCGCCATCTAACGGGGCCCGCCAATCAACATATACCATCAACCCGTTCAAACTTCCCGCCGTCTGATCCACCAATCAGAGCACGCGGTGGATCTAGCGGTTCCCGCCAATCAACATATACCATCAACCCCGTTCAAATTTCCCGCCGTTTGATCCGCCAATCAGAGCACGCGGTGGATGTGGTGGGCGTGGCCAAAAAGTGGAAGTGGTGGGGGGCGCCCAGAGTGCACCAGTATCTACTTGTGGAGAAAAGTACTTCTTAGCCCTAAACAAATAGAATAGCTTTTTCCCAGCGCCTCCAGCTATTGACGAGATGTGTTCGTGCCAGATCAGGTCCTCGGTGATCTGGACTGCGACCAGCCGAAATGAATGGCTCTTTGGCAGAACTCGACCATACATCGAACCCGGGTGAGCACAGGGACGCTTTTTGTTCGTCAAAGTACAGTACTGAGTTTTGGAAGCATTGAACTGTACAAGATTGTTGCGTCCCCAAGCAGTGATAGCCTCCAGGTCTCTTGTCAGAGAGGAAGTCATCGCTAGTCTCCTTTTAAACAGAAAGCAGAGCTATAGTCCTGTGTAGTTGTAAGGGTCGGTCTTAGATCCCTTTTTTGGGATGGGTTGGACTTGAGCAAATTTCCAGTTTTCTGGGAAGGTGCCGGATTCATAAGATATCTGGAAGAGACGCGAAAACACTGGAGCAAGCTCCGGTGCACACCTTTTCAGTACAATGGCAGGAATCAAGTCCGGACCAGAAGCTTTGTTGATGTCGAGCGACAAGAGTCTTATGGTCTTATGCCTGAATGTTACCTCCCGCATAGTGTAGGGAACCCTTTGAATTGACGGCACTTGGGCGTTGGGGGGGACGTCCATGGTGGAGTTGGTAGCAAAGATCTTGGCTAGCACTTCCGCCTTGGCCTTTGAGTTGAATACAATAGTTCCATCTTGACACGTAAGTGGTGGAAGGCTACTGTGTGAGAAGTTCTTTTCAATCTGCTTGGCCAGCGTCCAGAAAAACCGACTGCCATTGCGCTGCGTCATTACCCTGTGCCTAACTTTTACATCGTGCTGGTTTTTGGCATTGCGAGCCGCTGCTTTATATTTGTTTCTGGACTCAACGTCGGCTTGTCTGTTCTCTACAGTGGGATGTTGTAAGAAGGTTCTGTGTGCCTTGATCTTCTGCTGGCGGAAAAAAAGAGAAGCTTTCACTTATAATACCACGATATATGCAACCAGTATTAATGCATTATTTATCACTGCTTATAAGCTAGTGTTTTATAATAGGTAAATTCGTACACATTGGTGGTTAACTCAGGAAATTATTAATCAGAGGTGCCCTGTTAGGAGCGCAAACCTTTTATTAAAATTAAATTGACTACTTTCAGCCTAAAATGCTCGAATGCTCGGTTAAAAGGATAGCAGCTCAAAGCAAAATCAAGTAATTTGTACTATTTGGCATATTTTATGAAATAACTTAAGAATTACCTATTTGAATTTAATCATAATTCAAAGAACGATTATTTTACATATTTCTAACAGCATATACAGTAAAAAGAAATTATTTAAATACTGAAGGTTGGGAATAGTAGGCCTTTTCAAAAAATGATGCAAACTGTTCAATTTGTCTTACCGGTTCTTTAAGTTGTACCAAAAGGTTTGTAAATTGTGCTTACCAAAAAGCATTAGATGTTCATTGTTAGTGGGACAGAAATGTAAAACGAAATATCATGATGAGTTAGTCGTTTTATTTAGCCAACTTATACACAAAGATGATAGATCATAAACAAAGGGAGACAAAATATTACCGTAACGAATTAACTTAAGATATCCGTCTAAATCGAAAACTCGTTCATCAGACTTGAACATAAGAATCTCCGATTCGGCACATTGGTAAAACAAAAACACTATAATGACAAGTATCTGACAAAACTTGTTCAATTGAAGCACATAAATTGCAAATACAGTCTTGTCAACTATGGAATGAAGCTCAGCTTTCATGCATTCAATTTGGCTTTGGTTGCTTCTGAAGATATCCCCTACAAGATACTCCGGTACAGTTTAACCGGATTAAAAATTTTTGAACCGATTTGATTAATACAAATTGTTTTATTTCTTTTTAAAACATGTGGTAAGGTCAAATTTTACCTAGCCAAAATCTTGTAAGATAACCAATAATTACAAGTACCGCCACCTCAACTACCGGAAAGCGATATTTGTATACAAGGGTTCCTTAATGATATGCGAATATTTAAGGGTGTGAATCTACATGAAAAAATAATGTTAGTTTGCAAAAGAACGGTTTTTATTTTTTTACTCAAAAACGGCGCATCAAAAGAAAGCAACTCAAGAGAGATCATTTATTTTAAATTGAACAGGGAATTCGAAAATAATTTTTATTTGGCAAAAAATCATTGACGTATTATTTTTTTCTTAAAAAATATCGACGTCAATACCCGTACGCACGCCACTGTTAAAGCTAAAAATTATTTTAGCATTGAAAACTATGCAAATTTATCAACTTTCACTACGTATCAAATATCAGTGAAATAGCTGAAGCGGTTCTGAAAATATTAATTAATTTCCATTTTTTTTTTCCTAAAACTCCAACACCCCGAGTTTTTGTTAGGAAACATTTTTGGACCATAGTTTATAAAGCAAACTAACATTAATTTTTCATATAGATTCAAACCCTTAAATATTAGCATATCATTAAGGAACACCCTGTATAAGATCCTATAGTAATCCGTGAATACGTTTTACAGAAAGCAACAACTTTTAACTTTTACGAATGATCGTCTGTTATAGATTTTGGTCGCTTATGCCAAGAGGCAGTTTTAACTGGATGACGTTAGAACTCAAGGATTCAGTAATATGGAGGTGGTACAATTTAAGAACCGGTAGAATACGAGTATATCCGACAGTCCCATATATTCGTCTTCCTTCTTTGAGTATTAATCCTTGCAGGGAAGGGAGTATTGTAATCTCGAACATTTTCGAAAATGAGATAAGTTTTTTGGAGGATATATGACGAAAAAACGAAAATTTTTACGCAATGTCACTACTGTGCCAAAGATGCAAAGTTTTGTAATTTTTGATAACTGGTACATTGGCGGTGGAGAAAAAGGCCGAATACGAATAAAAATAAAAATGCTCAAACTTTTTTATTTGACGTTTCAGATGATCCTGATCATTTTCAGAAAAATGTTTGTAGGGTTTTAAAATTGGAGGTTAGGTGTTGCAGGGTGTGGGGGAAACTATCCAACCCCAGTAATTCTACGTACATATTAATCATATTTCACTCATCACAGATGTCCCCGTACATTAAAACTTCAAACTCTGAAATATCTCCTAGTCAGGTGTCGATATGTGCGATGTCGTCCCCGGATGGACAAGTGTCGTAGTCGATGGTCGTAAGCCACAGTCAGCAACCGCTTTCACACTAGTATTGGCTGCATGCTCTGTGCATGGTGAAGGCCAGTATCGTCATTCACGCGGGATTGATCATAGGAGGAGGAGGGTCTTTTTTTTGGTATACATGTTCGTGGCTAACTTTTTTCTCAGAAGGGCTAACTTGTGCCAAACATAATCCTTTACGAATTGATGATGGCGTAGCGTGGAAGGTACATAGTCAACTAAGTTGACGCCATTTTTTAGTTCTTTTGGAGTTGTGGCATATGTTGAAGATAAACAAAGGATAACCTACTTTCTTCTTCAGACAAATCTTCGCCTAAGCACTGAAGGACGGCTCTGAGGTCCGATGCTGTGATGTATCCTCTGTTGTGTTTGTCGAAAACTCTGAAAGCATCCCTTAGTTCCTTTTCTTCTTCTTCTCTGGACTGAACATGGTCTGGATCGGAACCAGCTGAAGCAGACCATGCGATGTCCACGAACTCTTCGAAACTCACGTTTCCATCGCCTATTCAAGAGTCAAGTAATATTAAAATTAGATTAGAATAATGTATCTATTCAAGGTGAAATCTAAGGTAGACAGTGTCATTCAAAAAAGTACCCCTGTCTACTTATTTTTAGAATGGATACATTTGGCGAACTGAAATTCTTGATAACGAAATAGTTGCATGCAAGAGTGACAATTGAAAATTCCAAGTTGGCGGTGGAAACATGTTTTTAAATGGAATGAAGTCACGCAAAATATTTTGAAGCTCTTTAGGTACTATAGCCCTAAACCGTAAAACAGTATCTCTCAAAATGGTGGACAGGCAGGCCGTCAAAGTAAAGCGTTATTGTTCATTGCATTGCTTATCCATAGCTCAACGACCAGCCATCAAAACACTATAATATGTTATATCAATCTCTATTATGGGAAGATTCCGGAAATGTAATAAAACACAATATTGTCAAAGTCTGTCAATTGTTTTTTAAACGGAATGTCCCATATCTTGTTGCACATTCAGATAGCCCCTCCCAAAAGAAGAAGATTTATATAAGACTCTATAGCATTTTTATAATATGCTGTCGTCGTTGCTGTAAATATTTCTGGCGCATTCCACCATTTTTGTCTTAATTTTCAATACCAAATTTTATTTCTTATGTAGTAGGCCTTTGGAATTGAACACTCCAGAATTCGTGTAAAACTTTGTTCTCCAGACATTGTTACACGTGTACGAAACTTAGTAGACCTACATAGATATAACTTGTGGCGTTGATCATGAAAACAGTAGTGGAATTGAAAATGTGATACAAAAATGAACTGACAAAGTATTCAGAATCTACACAGCCCACTTACTGAGGAAACGAGCTTTTATCCATGACTGTAAATAAGCGAAACGGTAAATTAGGGAAAGTTTGAAGTCCTAGCACATAGGGACTTTATGCTTTCAGTAGTTTTCTTGATACATTTCAGATACCAAAATAAACGAGATGTTCTCTATTTCAATAGCCCACTATGAATTTCTTACCGTCGACATCGACCTCTTGTAACATCTGTTGCAATTCTTCTGTACGAGCAAATTGACCCAAGGATCTCATCACCCTTCCAAGTTCCTCTTTTGTTATACTTCCGTCGCCGTCTTTGTCAAAGAGCCTAAAAGCTTCTCGAAATTCTGCAACAATAAATGGAAATCAGATATTCTGATTTAAAAGAGACTATTGTAATTAAATTTAGTCGGTCTGTATGTCTGTCCGTCCGCTAATCCGTGGACCGTCTATAACTTGGAAAGTACCGTTCAGACTTTGTTGAAATTTTCAAACGAAGTAACTGCTGTGCCAAGGACGAAAACCTTCTAGACTTTGAAAATCGATCCAGTAGCTGCGGCGTGAAGAGCAAAAAACGAAAAAAAACCGCCGTTGTAACTGACTGGACAAGGTATATTTCAATTTATTGATAAGACATATTTCCCCGTACATTTGCCCCCATAAAGCAGGTAGCAGACGGCGCGGCGACGCGATATGCACATACGAGGTGGACGGGATATTATCTATATGTATATACGAGCGTTATGCTTAATATAGTATAGTCTACATAGTATATCTATATAGTATATAAGTACGTATCAGGAACTATTGACAGTTTCACACCAGAGCTCCAAAGAAATGAGCTTACCGATAATTAATTTTAGATTACTTACCCTTCATTTGGCTCCGAGATACAGCCGGATGTCTCATTGAGAAGCTGGGATTTTTGTCGTAAATTATCGGTTTTTCTTCTTCTATAGAAGTGGTAGTGATATCATCATTTTCGTTGTGTCTATATGGGTCAATGTTATCGGGCGGTTCATCCTGCTGGGTGCATTGTCTGGTCTATACAAAAAATTATGAATGGTCAGTGATTCCCCCCGAACCATATGGTTTTCGTAAAAATAACTTTATAAGAAAATCCAAAACGGTTGCAATTTGAAAAAATTGTGGGAGGCTTCATAGCATATTTTCACCACAACCTCACAATTAAAAATACCAGAATTCTGTCTGTTCTGAAAAAAATATGTCATGTTCACATAATCACTGTTTCCCTGCCGTCATTTGTTACTGATTTGGTGTCAATATTTTCCTCTATTTGGTAACTTACACGTCAATTATTTGCTTAGATCCAAAGAAATTTCAAAATAGCAACGTCGTGTTTCCAAAATGCGAATAAGTGATGTCAAACTTATAAGTAGAAACCAATAATATCGATTTACTACATTTTTTTATTTTTAAACCATGTGCGTGTGTTGAAAAATACAGAGAGCTGCTTAAGCATGTTATATTTTTCAAAACTTGTATCTTCAAGACAAAGTGGTAATCTCGGATATATTGCAGAGGATCAATCCTTCAGGAAACACGTGTATTCTTCAGTCTATCGACATCGTAGCAAACAGTGCATATACCGGGTGTTCCAAATTCGTCTCTAACACGTGTATTCTTCAGTCTATTGACATCGTAGCAAACAGTGCATATACCGGGTGTTCCAAATTCGTCTCTAACCATTGCGATCTCAGAAAAGCTAAGAGAAACGAAAATGACTTACAAACTAGCATCCAGAAAGTTTAGCAATTCAGAGTAATTCCAAAGAAAGATGTCGTCTTTGTTTCTCAATCAATAACTTCATTTTTTTATCGACGCCATATTGGATTTTTGTAGATCCACACCGGTATAGCAGGGAACGAACGTCTATGGACTGATTTTTTTCATAGAATGCTTACGTATCAATCAATCACAAATGACAACTAACTTCCTTTAAAAACAATTACCAGCACGAAATCATTGGCGTAATATAACAGGCTAATAAGTAGGTTAAATAAATTTGTAGTATAAAGATAGATTTGCTTATTTCTTTTGTCTACGAGTATATAAGATCTTTCATATCAAAATCTTTCAGTATATTATATCTACATAAGGTTAGATGTAAGTGTAGGTTTAAGCTAAATCTCGCGTTTTATAAATGATGGTAATAAAGACGATTATTATTATCATTATTAATATCACTAGAAGGTCTAGGTTGTGCTTAACACATCCTTTATAATCTGATAGCTGCGTTGCGTGGAAAGTGCAGGGTCAACCTACTCGACACGATTTTTTTAAATCAGGATTAAAAACCTTATTTACCTCTGCACAATCCAATATGGCGTCTATAAAAAAATAAGTTATTTATTGAGCACAATAGATGTCATACTGATATTCCAATTATGTCATCATGTAGAGGAGAAAAAGTGGCAATATTAATGTACTTTTTATTTTGATATTCTCAACTCTCAAATGAAGTCAGGAAAAAATAAAGAAGGTTTGGGAAAGACCTATTTCTTTTGTCTCTATCTCCGGGAATACTTGAAATTGCGAAACATTCTAAGTTCAATTTTCTTAGTTACCTAAATGGGCAACTTTACTCTCATTTAACCGACGTCGTATCTCCGAGATCGTAATGGTGAGATTCGAATTTGAAACACCCGGTATGTGCGATTTCAAAAACGCCGCATGATACTATACTTTGGCTACTGAAACACGTTTGAGCTGAATAATGCTATAAAAGTCCCTCCTCCATCTTATATCGTATAACCATAAATTATTCCTATTTGGTAAATGGCGCGAGACAGAGACCACAGGAGGACTGGCCTTTATTCCCTCATAAAGTCTTCGATACACATCATAAAGTTTTACTGAGATGGGTATTGTGTCCTTTTTATAGCTATCTGGAATGAAAATGAAGTCACACTATGTGACTAAACCAACCAAGTTGGATAAACTTACATTTTGAAAAATGGTGGATGTGTTTCATTTTTGTAACTCAAAGGTCCCGACACTACAACCCTTATTTGACTTTTTCCAACTTTTCCACTTCACTTTTACTTCTCACGTCTACAGGCGAATATGTAAGTAAGCGCAAAAAAATTCAAAAATGTGATACGAGGGATATCTTTTAAGTTTTGCATATAGAAACATAGTACTCTGAGCAGATCGAACGTCAGTACTGAATCTTAACCTCAACCCCAACTTAAATTCAAAGTTTCACAACAATACGTGCAGTGTTCTCACTACAGAGAATTTTTAAGTGTCACCAAGTCATTAGAAAAATAGAACTCAACCGAGAAAATTTTCGCGCCATAATTTATTACAACTTTCAGACACAATTATCGCAACAAGAATGCCTTGCTGAGTTACTGTCTGTTTTCGGCAACGAAGCGCCACATCAGTCGACAATTTCCCGTTGGTATGGAGAATTCAAACGTGGACGGGTGACTCTTAGCGACGATCCCAGGATGGGTGCACCAAAAACGGCAGTGACCCAGGAAAACGTCGATGCTATGCGCAAACTCATCATTGAAGATAGACATGTGACATATCGCGAGATTGAGGCGTCCTTGAAGATCTCAAAGACCTCAGTTCAAAAAATTTTACATGAGGAATTAGGACTAAGAAAATTAGTTTCACGTTGGATACCCCACCTGTTGACTGAAGAGCAGAAAGCAGCGAGGGTTTATTGGTGTCAAAAAACGCTTGACCGTTTCAATTCCGGAAACTCAAGAAATGTGTACAGCATTGTTAGTGGTAATGAATTGTGGATTTACTGTTATGAACCAGATAATAAACGACAGTCGGCTGTTTGGGTGTTCCAAAGCGAAAGCCAACAAAAGTCATCCGTTCTCGAAGTGTTTCGAAAAAGATGGTCGCGACGTTTGTGTCAAAAGCGGGACATATTGCAACAATTCCTCTAAATGAGCAAAGAATTGTTACTGCGGATTGGTATACCACCATTTGTTTGCCAAAAGTCATCACCGAGCTTCGAAAAATCAACCCCAAAAGAAGAATCATCCTCCACCAAGACAAGCTCGCACACAGCCCAAAAACAAGGCAGTATTTAACGGAAGAAAACGTGGAATTATTGGACCATCCCCCATATAGTCCCGATGTAAGTCCTAACGATATCTTTACTTTCACAAAAATTAAAAACAGACTGCGTGGTCAAAGGTTCCAGTCACCAGAAAAAGCAGTTGACGCATTCAAAAATGCCGTTTTGGATCTGCCAGCAAACGAGTGGAATGAGTGCTTCGAAAATTGGTTCGAACACGTGCAGATGTGTATTAATCTTCGTGGAGAATACTTCGAAAAACAATAAAGTCATTTACCTACCGTGTTGTTTTATTTACATATGCAAAACTTAAAAGTATTGTTTTTTGGATGTTATATGACATGTACACTGGACATCACGGAAAACCGGTCTGTGCGCAAATCCTTGGCCCATCTATAACTTGAGAAGAACTGTTCGGATTTGGATGAAAACACAAGGTTTTACTACTATGTCAATGACGAAAGATATTTGTAGTTACATAAAATCGGTCCAATGACGGCGAAGAAATATGCCAAAAACAAAGCAGAATTAAATCGCTCAAACTTCCCTAATAGACACCTGCCTAATTCAAAGAATTTCCGTCGAATCGATGAGCGGTTACAAGAAACTGGTAAGAAATGATCATAGCCTTATTTTGAGTAGTAAAAACCATTTGGATTTTAGCTAGTTTTGCTCAAAATATGGGCCGACATAGTGGAGCTGTCAGAACAGTACGTACAGCTGAAGTTGATGAAAGTGTTTTAGATGGTGTCTTTGAAAATACTACAGTTGGGGTAAAGAATGTAAATCGAGAATTTCAAGATTCCAAATATACAGTAAATACCATTTTTCAAGAGCAACTGCTCCATCCATACCACCTGCAAAAAGTACATGGTTTAAGCGCGGATGATGACCCCGCAAGGGTAGAATTTTGTACAACATGGCTCTTAATGAAGCTCAACCACGACAATGGTTTTACTTCGTTAATATTATTTTCGGACGAAGCAGGATTTGGAACGGAAAAAATTGTAACTTTAACACCCTGTATCTCTCAAACTATCAACTTTTCGACTGAGCTACGTTTATGTCAATTTGCATATTTTGGTCTGTAGTATCTCCAGTTTCAAGATTTCCCAACCTTTCGCAGACACCCTAAACGAAGATAACAGACATTTTTTCGATTTAAGGTTAGGAGCAATTTGAATTTGAAACTGTCAATTCTCTTTTGACTTTGCAAATGATGTGAACGAAATATCTGCACTAATGTCAGGCTTCAGTTGAGCTCACATGACACAAATTTCACCTATATTCCACTATAAGGCCGACGAAGTTGCTTTTTTTTGTCCACCGTGTGCGCGGCGATCGAATGAGTGCCTATGCACTTCGCTACTGGCGATTGTTTTAACAGTTGCATACGTTGGTTGTTGGACAAGTCGATGATAACCTGATTCATGCCCAAGTAACAATTATCACTCCTATTAGAGTTGCAAGAAGGATTATACAGTATTCCTTAAACAGCATTGTATACTGTAAGGACATTGGCAAAACCCTCATTGAACAGCTATACAAGCGGAATGGGCACACCTAATAGGACACTTCAGTCATTTAAGAGGTTGTATAAGGGCTGCAGGTAACAGTTATAAAACAAAAGTGTAAGCCTCGTGCAGCCGCTATAGGATATTTGCGTCAGTGTAAGATTCAGTTTTTGTCAAGTATACAACTATTCTGTTACGTGATTCTACTTTACTGCAACCAAACTATTTCTTATGTATTGTATAGACGAAGTGAAGAATATATAACTAACACATTACAATCATCTTGTTTACTTACATATCGGCCATTGTGAATTTCATACACAGGTATATGATAAACTTCTACACTGTGATATAGGGCTATTGAATTACTTGCGCAGCAAATTTTATTGTGATTATCGGGCAAATTAGTTACGCAATTTCTACGGGCTTCGTATTTGATTCATATTTTGACAATGATCAAAGGT